CCCCAGCAATAACAGCGTTGCCCTAGGCTGACTCCTTGCTGCATACCAGGACCATCAGACCTTTGTGTGTATTTAGTGCCCCCAAAGCTGTTGAGGTAACCTCAGGTCCGACCCCCAGAGGGAAGGAAACGCTCATAGCTGAAAGGTGGCAGAGTCGTGATTTGAACCCAGGGCCCTGCCCTTCCGCTTTTCCACTAACCAATCCTCTGCCGTGCGTGTGCCTGTGCGGGTCCCTGGGATTCACTCCCAGATGCCCCCAAGTTTCCATGGCCCTAAGCTTCTGCCCCACCCTGCAGATACCAGCCTGGAGGGTAGCGTCCCCCCGGACCTGGTGCTGGAGCCCTCCCTCGACTACAGCCATGGGGGCGACTTTGTGGCCCTGGACAGGATGGCCAAGTACGAGCTCTCTGCCCTGGAGGGCGCCCTGCCCCAGTTCTACCCGCTGCAGCCGTTGCAGGAGGACAAGATGCACTACCTGCAGGTAGGGACAGGGCAGAGCTGGGGACACTGGATATGCGAGTGGGAGGTGTCCTGACCTCCCCTTGGCCTTTCCTCTCTGAGCCCATCTCAGGCATGCCACAGCTCCAGAGGGCTGGCCCCAGGTCACAGAGCCTGTGCAGGTTGGCCCAGGCAGGGCACCCCAGTCCCTGTCTCCATGTTCCCTTGTGCTCTGGGAAAGTAGTCCACCTGGCACCCATGTTATTTTCTTGGGGCCCAGCACCCCCCTCAAGGGACCTTCTCTCCAACCGACCCAAGCTACAGACGACCACACTGAGGCTCGGAGAGATCTCCACTTGACCCAAATCTCACAGCTCTGGACCAGGATGCCCTGGCCCGCAGGCCGCCCTGTCCCGTGCGCAGAGGCGGCGGCCCCAGAGGAGGGCAGCCGGAGTAAGCCCGCTGTCCCGACAGGTGCCGCCCACGAGACGCCTCTCGCACGACGACGCGGACGTGTGGGCCGCCGTCCCGCTGCCCGCCATCCTGCCGCGCTGGGGCTCCGGCGACGACCTGGCCGCGCTCGTGCTGCCCGCCGCGCCCGAGCCGCGCCGCGGCGGCCTGCTGGCCTTCGCCGAGGACGCGCCCCCGTTCCGCCCGCGCCGCCGCTCGGCCGAGAGCCTGCTGTCGCTGCGCCCCCCGGCCCTGGACGGCGGCCCGCGCCGCGCCCGCGACTCGCCCCCCAGCAGCCCGCGCTGCCGCCCCGGGCCCGGCGCCCGCTCCGCCTCGGCCTCGCTCCTGCCCGACGCCTTCGCGCTGACGGCCTTCGAGCGCGAGCCGCAGGCCCTGCGCCGCCCGCCCGCCGCGCCCGGGCCCTTCCCCGCGCCCGCCGGCGCCCAGCCCTACGAGGACGCGGCGCCCCCTGGCGGTGGCGGCGGCGGCGGCGGCGGCGGGCCGCGGAGCCCAGAGCCACGTCCGACTGCGCACGCACACGCGGGGCCCTTGCGGTCCGGCTTGAGCGCGTCGTGGGGCGAGCCCGGGGGCCTGCGCGCGGCTGGCGGCGGGAGCAGCAGCAGCTTCCTGAGCTCCCCCTCCGAGTCTTCGGGCTACGTCACGCTGCATTCGGACTCGCTGGGCTCGGCGTCCTAGGGCCCGCCGGCACTCCCCGACCCTCGCCAGGCAGGCCGGCCGCCCACGGGGGCCAAAACACCAAAGATGCCACCCTGTCCAGGCTCGGGGTTGGGGGCCACGCTGAGCCTGCCAACAGCACCCGGACGTGTGCCAGCCCTCCCAGGGTGATGGGGCAGTGGCTCTCTGCCGGCCCTAGGAAGTGGGCATTGTCTGGAGGGGTGATGACTGCCCTGGACTGCACTGGGCACAGACCAGCCACTGGGCACGGCATCTCCCAGCAAAGTGAGGCTGGGCTTGCGTAAAGGCAGGCTCTGCACGCCCAGCTGCATCTTCCCTAGCGCCAGGACAGCTGGGCTGGGGGAGGGAGCCCAGGGACAGGGCCACTACCAGACGGAACAAAGGCTGGCCTTGCAGGAGCAAGAGCCACCGGACTGCACCCGGCTTTCCGCTCTGCACTGTAACTCTGTCATCTCAGGGGGTGGGGTGCAGAGGGTTTCTAAGCACAGGGGTCTTCAGAGCCTAAACAAGCTCTCCCCGCAGGTCTCCCTGCTGACCTATTCTGTCTCGGTTTCTCCATCTGTGATGAGCAGGTGACCGTGTTAACTCTCAGGACTGTTTGGAGAAGTCTCCTGGTCCGTGTGTCCTGGCCACTGAGTGGAGAGGGCATGAGAGATAGACTAGTGCCCTCCGTGGGTCCTTGGTGGGGGTCAGCCTTCAGTGTGTTGCCTGGTGTGGCACCAGGCCTGAGGCCTCCCACTCTCAGTGCCCCCGGCCCCCTTGGGAACCCACTCCCCACTCAGCTAAAGCACAACACTTCTGCACCGTCACCATCGGCACCACCCCACCTTGACCACCACTGGGATCCCCATCCTTGTCACTCCACCATCACAGCCTACTCTCACCACTTTGGCCACCTCTGTGACTCCCACCACAAAGGTCGTGGTACATGGTGGGAAGAACTGAAGCAAAGGGGGGGGTGGGCTTCCTTATCCTGGCATCTATCCCCAGCCTCATCCCCAACCCGTGCAGGTCTAGTCAGGAAGGGGTCCTGGCTAGGAGGCCTCCCAGGTTCTGGGTTTAAGGCCTGGTCCCTGGCAAAGGTTCTCCTCCACCCTTGGGGTAGTGCTCTTTGCTCTCCCTCCTGGGAAGACCCCTTGCAGGCCTGGGCTTTTCCATGGGCCCTGTGGAGGGGCCTGCTGGGTCTTCTGTGGAAGAAGACCCTAGATTCAGGCTAAGAAGAGGCCCAGGAACAGCTGTGACCTTGAGCTGGAGGGACAGGGGCTAATGCAGAGGCTGTCTCATCCTGGCCCCTGCCTCCATGCAGTAGCCTCAGAACATGAAGACCTGGAGCAAGTTCCAAGGCCAGCAGGGAGCCTGCCTGTGCTGTGTTCCCGCCTGCTCTGCAACCTGGAATTGCAGCACTGCCTCTGCCCTTCCCATGGCAGAGCCCACCTCCTCACCCTCCAGGTAGAGTCCCAGCCCCAGAAGAGGCCTCTGGGAGAGGGGAGGAGGGGGACTGCCTGGCTCCGTCTCTGCTTTGGAGGCCCCTCCAGTCACTGGCTGTGGGTAACCTGGGGGGAGGAGCTGACTACAGGTGAGCAAGGCTGGGGACTGCTTTCCAGCCCTAGCCATGGGAGGGGCCACCTCTGGCCAATGCTGCTGTGCCTTCATGGACCAACATGTCATTTAGGGGCAGAGGTCATCAGCTGGCCACTGTCCTCCCCTCGGGCTGGCCCATTTGTCATCCTTGGGTTTTCACTCTGTGTATTTCATATCCAATGGCAATACTTGCACGGGGACATGGTACTCCAAAGTCCCTCCAGTCCTGGTTTTTACAAAAATAAAGAGGAGGGAGGACCCAAGCGGACGGCCCTGGGGCCTGGGGCTCCCTGTCACACTCTGCAGCCTCCAGGCCTATTTGCTGCGGTGATAAGCAGCTTGACCCCGTGGCCATCGTAGGGAGCTCTGTCTTCATACCACCACCCAGCCCAGAGCCAGGGATCCGTTTGTAGTTTTTTGACAACAGTATTTCTCTTCTGTACAGAATCCAATAAAAACTTCCTATGTTTTGCACCCGGCATTCCTGGGCTGGTTTCGTGGAAACACCTTCCAGCTGCCCCCAAATGTCTCTCCTTCTGGGTCCTGAATTCCTCCGCTAGAGCCCATTCCTTTGGTTCGGGCTAGTCCCTTTACGCAAGTGCTGCGGCGCCACCTAGCGAGTGAGTCGTCGCGGAGCAGCGACAGGATGGAGCGTTGGGGTGGGCACCAAAGCCCTAATAGCAGAAACAGCCCTATGAGTGCAGGTGGCAGCCTCTGCCCCGAGGATGCCTTCAGGGGCCGCTAGCCCCTGTAAGGTTGATTCAGGAGCGAGAAGGGCAGAGCGGTTGGAGCTGGGCCTGGGGGAGCCAGACCTGTTGTGCCGGATGACCAGTCCGCCCGCAGGTGTTGGAATTTCGGGGCCGTGCCCTGGGTCCCCGGTGCAAGATCGCCACCCAGTGGCTGGCAGAGGGATTAGTGCTGGAAGCCGAGGCTGGAGAGGCCGCCTCGGAACTGCCACAGCCGGGACCACCTCCCACGCCCGCGCTCCAGAAAGCTCGCTGGGCAGGGTAGGGGGGCCGGGCCGCCCTTTGCCTGCAGTGTGACCAAGACGGGTTTAGCACACGCATGGCAGGGGCAGTCCAAAACGAGAAGTGTTTTATAGAAAGTTGACATTTGTACTAGATATAGTGGGAGAAATTAGAACCTTCGTGGTCTCTATACCCATTTCACAGGTTCGCACTGTTTTTATCTGAATTTCAAGCTGCTCGGAGAAAGTGCCAGGATATCTTCCTGGGCTTGGCGCAGGATCCCTGTCCCCCATCCCCAGGCTGTCCTTCGTGTGCCGGGACCCCCGGGCTGGAGTCTGAGCACAGCATTGACGCGTCATTTTCAGACAAACGGACAGGAGCAGAGCGTTCCAGGGTTGGTGAGGGTCGTGGGCTCCCTGGCAGCCCAACAGGTCCGGAGGCAGGGGTGCTGCAGGGCCGGGGCCTTGACTGCAGACCGGGGAGGTCTTTGTTGAGTGGAGAGCGGGGGCCCTCCCACGAGAGGAGCCCGGGTTTGCTCCAGCGGCCCTCAAGCCGGCCTTATGGCGCGCGTCATCCCTCCCAAGAACCGCGCGGGGCGGGGCGGCGGGGCGGCGGGGCGGCGGGGCGGGGGGGGGGGCGGGCCCCCGACCGCACGCCAGCCCGACAGGCCACGCGGCGTGAGGAGGGGGTGGGGATCCGTGGAAGCCAGAGGGTCCGGGGTAGGGGTGGACTGGGGGCCCCTCGCCCGCGGGGCGGGGCCCCGGGCGCTTTGTGCCGGTGGGAACCGGGCGTCCCCGGCCAACTGAATGGGCCGGGGCGGGGCAGCGATTCTCCTCGCTGCGAGGGGTCCGCTCTGCGCCGCTGCCAACGGCGACCTTCTCACCGCAGCACGGCAGCGAGGCGGGGGCGGGGGCGGGCTGCCTGCCGGGGGCCCTGGGAAAGGGGAGCAGCCCAGGATACCCCCTCCCAGTCCCACTAGAGGGTGGGAGAAGGAGAGAGAGGGTCCAGCCTGAGTAGGTGGGGCTGAGGTGGGGGGTGGATCATGCCTAGACGCACAGACCCGCGTCCACGCGTGGCTCCTTGTATTTCCCCGAGTTCGCGAGTACGCGGCACCCTCCCCGCCACTCCCACCCTGGGACCAGGACAAACGACCGGGGTCCCGGCCGTCACCGCGAGCGTGCTCAAAACAGTCTCTGCGTCCCCGGGCCTGACGGGGGCCCCCTTGAGTCCGAGGCCGCGCCGGGCCTCACCACGGCCGCCACACGCGCAGCCCAGGCCCGGGGCTCTCGGCCAAGCGACGAGACGCCGGCTGCGGCTCCGGGACGCTGGTGGACGGGCCGGGGAGACCTCCAGGGAAGAGGAGTCGGGATGGCGGGGACCGCGAGCCGCCGGCGGCCGGATCAGGGGCCCAAACGGCGGGAGCGCAGGAGCCGCGTCTCGCGGGCGCCTCGAGGCCCGGCCCGGCGCTGTCCATGGTGCTGCCACCCGCACCCTCGTGCACCAGGTGGCAGCGCAGGCCGCCGCCGCCCTCCTCTCCGCGCCGCCGAAGCTGGCTGACGCCAGGCAGACAGCCGCGGAAGCCCGACGGGTACTCGGCTCCGCTGGGAACAGGCCAGAGCTCTGGGAGAGGGAATCGGACGGGAGAAATGTGGAGGGCAGGGGAAAAAAGGAGAGAGGAGGAGGAAAGGAGAGGTGTAGAGAAGAGAGAGAACGGGAGGGGAGAAGTGTGAAGAGGAAGAGAAGGGAGGGGAGAGGAGGAACCCTGAACGTCTCCGCCGGGGTCCAGACCTTCGTCCACCCGGACTACAACTCCACAGCCAGCCAGGCCTTTGCTGCTTCTCCCCTTCCAGTGATTTGGGGCCCGCTCCTCACTCGGCTGCCCCCTGCCCTGAGCTTTCTTTTCCACCCGTCCCTTCTTTATCTGGCCTTGTAGTAACCATGGATCTGACCCTACAAGTCCCCCCCTGCTCCTCACCCCACCCACTCCAGGACCCCCCCTCTACCTTGCACCGCATTCTGAAGACTTTTCATGTACTTGACGCTCAGCTCCAGTATGTCTGCCTTCTCCAACTTGCGTTTCCGGATCTGCGGATCCGTGGAAAAGGCTCTTAGCTGGGCAGCCCGTTTGGAGAGGATGAGGTTGGGGATCGAGTCACCCCCCCCCCCCACCACTACCACTGCCACCACGTCCCCATGTCTCACCTGGTGCGAGTAATGTTTCTCCAGCAAGGACTTGAGCTGCTCCAGCGACACATTGATGCGCGCCCGTCGCTTCTTCTCCATCAGTGGCTTGGAGATCTGTGCAGAGCGGCTGTTAGAGGGCAGGGCCACGGCACTCTCACCCTCTGCCCCCGTCAGCCTCGGCAGGGCCCCCACCCCATGCCCCCAGGACCCCAGACCTTGCGGAAGCTGCCGGAAGAGGGACCACCAGAACAGCCCTGGGTCTCGGGCTCGGTGCCCATGTTGTCGTATCTGTGCCCTCGGGAGGTGGTGCTGCCTTTTTATAAAGGGTCCCTCGTTTACATGTCAATGAGGTGCTCCTGGACTCGAGGAACCCTGAGGGGGAGGGGATGAAGGGAGGATGCACCGGGAAGTTCTGCATCTCCCTCTGCCTGTCCCGCTCCCATAGCCCACGCTTTGGCCTAGCCTCCAGGACCCCTCCTCCCTCCCGAGGGACCCCTTTTGCCCTTTCTCAGTCTTTCTTTTATCCCTCTCATCCCCACCACTTCCCAAGTCTTGGGTCCCCTCCCATGCCCACCACCTCCATGCCCTGTCCTGTCCCAGTCTCCCTCAGTTCTGGGCCTCACCACTAGGCCCACTGCCTAGTCCTCACTGCCCTTTGTCTCCAAGCATTTTTGCAGGGCACTCATTGGGGGTGGTCCATGGGCCCAGCCAGCTGTGAGTCCTGCTAATGACCATACAGAGCAGAGGGTCTCTACTGGCCTGATGAAGACGCGGAGGCAGGGAGCACCCGCCAGCAAGGCCTTTCTGCCGGCTTCACGCTCTGGCCGTGCTGGCAACGCTGCATTAGTCGCCCTAATGTTGGGACAATGCAGCGATTTTCTGCCTATGGCCACTGAAAGCCGGGCGCAGGCCGGGCCCGCGGGGGCCACGCAGCAACATGTGTCCCATTAAAGCGTGCAGCCCGCCCGCGGGGCCACAGCCAGCATCCTCCTCACTGGGGCCTTGGGACTGGGAGCATTCCTGCCCTGGGGTGCAGCCTGGGCTCAGGTGCCCTCTAGCTCTGTTAGGACCCAACAACCCACATTCTTCCAGCTAGGAGGCAAGCCACAGGCAGCCTCAGGGCAGGGTGAGTCACAACGACCTCCCCCACCCCCAGTCCTGGGTTTCCAGGCTGGACACCTCAGGCTCTGAGGACTGTTTCCTTCACAGGGATCGCCTGGGAGTTTATTCCCGACAGCTTTCCGTCGGTCCTAACAAATGGGAGGTGGGGGTGGGGAAGAGCACTGATCATCTGGGGAGAGCACCATTCAGAGCTTTTGGAGGTCCGGAGTCCCAACCCCTTTTCATTATTGAGGGTGTGGCTGGAGACCCAGGGAGCTCAGTGGAGGAGGCACCTGCCCCAGGACCGGCTAAGCCCTAGGGCAGGACTCCAGTGCAGTCCAGGCTTGGGCCCCAGGAGGCTGGCCTGCAGTAGCTGTGACAGACAGGAAGGCTGACCTCCAGGGGAGTCCCGGGGTTCAAACCTACACATCTCCCTTTACTGGGCTCTCATGGCCTCAGTTTCAGGGTTTTTAAAATGGGATTCTGAACAACGCGGGCCCGCATGGCTCCTTGCGAGAGTGATGGGGAAGTTGCAGGGACGCAAAAGTTCTGCAGTTGAGCCTTCGGCAGAAGAATGAACAAATTGGCCTTTGCAGGGCCTCAGCTTGAGGGGGAGGGGAAATTGCTGGGTCCTGGGTAGGCTCCCAGTTCCCTCGAGCTTTCCCCCAACCCACCCCCGCCCGAGGTATTGACAGGCCCTGCCCGGGCAGCGGCGTTCCCAGGCGCCAAGCAGCGTGGAGAATCGCGCCCCGCCCTCCTTTCAGGCCGAGGCTGCGGTCGTAGCGGCTCCGGGGTGCTCTTCCGCCCGCGTTGCAGGGCCTGCGGGCCAGACCTGGGCTGGGCCAGGCCCGGGGCGGGCAGCAGGGCAGAGGCTGGACTGCAGGCGCTGGCACGCGCCGGGCAGCTTTGAAGCGCCGGGACTGGCCGGGCCCGAGAGGCCTCCGTGCGCTCGCTCCGGCTTGGGGCGGTGGCGGCACGGTACAAAGGTGCCGCAGCGCGGGCGGGCGGCGCGGCCGGGCACAAAGGGGGCAGCCGAGTGTTAAGGGCATTGTGCAGGCTGCATAAAGCCGCGCTCGCGCCCGCCCCCTCGGGGCCAAACTCCGGGCGCCCCGCAGCGCGCGGACTTCCAGCTGCTGCACATCTGCACGGAGGCTGGGCGCGCGCCTCGCTCCGGCGGTCTCTCCTCACCCCCGCCTCTGCTCTCGAGCCGCGCGGCAGCGGGGCAATTTGTCCTCTAATTATGATCCCTCCCCATAAACCGCCGTCCGCGCCTTTCAACTCCGGCGCATTAGCAAACGAATGGGGCTCCGTGCTGCTCTCGCTGCCCTCAGCGGGGGAGCCGGGCCCGCCCCCTCTCCAGACTTAGGGCCGCCATAAAGGGGCCCGCGGGCCGCTCCCGCCCGCACCCTGGCACCCGCAGCCCCTGGGGCCACCACCCTTCTAGAGTCCGTTCCCAGGGATCCCGAGCGTGCTGGGTGGGGCCGCTCACGTGGGCGGCTTAGTGTTTCTTAAGAAGTGGAAAATTGACCGCAAAATGCGCTAATTCGCAATGTTCTGCTTTGGCTACAGGAGGCAAGGCCCGGGATGGGGGGTAGGGGGTGGGCGGGGGGAGGCCCAAGCAGGAGTCTCAGTTGGTAAGCTCCGCCCCCGCCCACTTAACGGGCCTCCGCCACGGCTGCCCCTACCCCCACCGGTTACCATCCGCTGCGCCCCGCACCTCCCCTCCCCCGTCACGTCCTCTGGCTGGTGTCTCCCCGCTTAGGCTGATCCGTCGCACTTTCTGGGCTTCCCCCGCTCCTAACGCGGCTCCCACGCCACTAACAGCTACAGACGGCTCTCTCCTCGCCTTAAGCCGACTGAGGGTCGCGCGGGGCTTAAGGCTGAAAGGAATCCCTGGGCAAGTTTCATCCTCCGTTTTCCTGTGCTTGGAGACAGCTTCCAACTCCTCATCTCCACTTCACCCTCAATTTGGGCTCCTTCTTTTGGGTAGCCCCTTCCTATACTAAGTTAAAGTCGGGTCTTTGCATCCGGCAAAGGGCAATTGGAAAAGATACTAAAAAAGCCTCCACCGATATCCTTCCTTCTCGGTGACCCAGGCTGGGGACCCCCAGGTCCACCTCCTCCCCTTCTCTGTTTTCCAGTCCTGCGTCTGGGCTTCCTCAGCACACTCTCAGGCAGGCCAGGCTCGGAAGGGGCGTGGGGGAGGCAGGGGAGGCCTTTTCACCATCTGAGCCCGGGTCTTCTCTGAGAGCAAGCAGGACATGGTGCTCTGGAGCTACTGGGAAGGGCATGGACCAACTTAGAAGCTGGCCTTATGCAAGCTGGGATATAGGCCACCGACTGACTCCCTTTCCATCTTTAGCATCTGCAGTCCCCAGGGGGCCTGGAAAGGAGCACAGGCCCAGGCAGAGCACTCGGGAGACACAGGCCGCCCTCTGCTCATTCAAGGAAATATTCCTTCTGTAAGTCCAGAGGGCTCTGGGGGCTTCCAGGGCTACTCAGGGCCCTCTGCTTCCTTGCGCTGGGGAAATTAAGGGGAAAACTGCCCTGTGCCTTTGCCCCTCCTTCCCGCATTTTGTTTTCGTGACTTTGGGGAAAGAAAGAACATTACAGAACAAGTTGGGTCTAGAAACTCAGTGAAGAGGGGGTTTGCAGGCCCAGGACAAGAGCCCTACTAGACATCCCACCAGCCATCCCAGGTGACAGCCCTGTGCAGGGTCTCAGTCCTGGGTGGACCCTCCCTCGTGCAGCCCCCAGGCATTTTAAGCAATGCTCAGGAAGGCTGCTGCTGGTGTGGTGACTGAAGGGAGAAATGCACCATCTCCCTCCGCAGATGCACTTCAAAGTGGAATGAAGTGATGGCTCCATGTAATTAACTATTGGGACACAGCAAAAGCACTGAAATGACTCAGCCAATTGTCTCCAGATGGGGTTGGAGAGGCCGCGATTGTTTAACTCTCTTTAGCTGTGTTGGGACTCTGACTATCCCAGCAGCCAAGGGCCCCTCCAGGAGACAAAGGCTGGGACTCTGGTGAGTGCATCAACACTGAACCGAGCTGGCCTGGCCTGGGGAGAGTGAATTCAGGGAGACCCCCATTGTCCCAGCCTTTTGTGTTTCTCCTCAGCTGGCTCTAATCTTTAAATATTTACCCGGCCCCTTTGTGCACATGTAACTTATGCACTTCGGCTGATGTGCTCATAAATTACATGTCATTTACCCATTTCCAGACTAGGGAGAGGGGGCTTTCATGCCTGGAGCCCAAGATAGCCAGGGGAAGGGAAGGACAACTTTTGGAGGACCAGGGTTTCCTCCCAGAGAGAGCTGCAGCCACACTGGACAGGCCCCTCCCGGCCTCCATGTGGGCACTGGACAGGGCAGAGGCCTGTGAGTTACAAGGAGCCCCAGAAGGCCACTCTAACAATGAGTGACTGGGGACCCACCAGCAGGGAGGAGGGAGAGGCTGGTTTCCCAGACTTTGTCCTAGTTGCTGTCAGGCTGGACAGGAGCAAACTTTTCATCCTGGGAAGTTGGTGTGGGTTGAGGTGCTTGGTTATCCACTGTGGAGAGGCAAGAACGCCCCATCCTTGCACCTGTCTCCTGCTTGCTCTGGGCCATCCTCCCTTTCTACATTCTCTCTTGCTCAATAAAGCGACCCCATTTAAGAAAAATTAAGAAAGCATAATTTCATCTCAGCCTGCAGTTTAACTTGGAAAAGTCAACGTGGTCCTTAGGGCTCTTCAAACAGAAAGGATACCCACTTGGGCCCAGGATGGAGAGCCACGTCAGCTGGTGGGCGGAGGGCAGGATTGGGGGCGCTGCAGAGGGACCTTCCTGCATGAGAAAGGGCTCTCTTTGTGCTTGCCTGCAGCTCCAAGAACAAAACACATTCAAATGCTTATTTACAAAAAAAGGCAGGGGGGCATCCCAGGGCTGAGTAGCGTTCCTTTCTTATATTTTTGTAGGTTCGTGGTTCCCCTAGCCTGGGGGATGACAAACTGGGGTAACACTGGAGAGCTGGGTGCAGAGTGGATTTGTCTGATCAGATTGCTTTCCTCTCTGGGGGGAAAGCAGGTCTGTGTGTTTCTGTCTGTATCTCTGTGTGAATTACTGTTTCTCTGTGTGTCTGTGTGTAACTTTGTTTCTCTGGGTCTATGCCAGCGTGTTCATATATTTGCTTACTTGCTTTTCTCTTCCATCACTGCTCTGTGAGCCCTGGTCCCTGACAGATTCAGGAACTCCACTGGCTTCTAAAAATTTTCTTCGCCTGAGGTCCAGCATCATGTGGGAGGGGACTGTCTCCCCTTTCTTTCTCCCTTTTCCAAGATGGGGCTAATGGAGAGATGTAGGGTCTAAGAGGAAGTGATGGACAGAGGAGAGAGGGTTGCTCAGGCTGGATTACATGTTACTCTGTGCCCCCAGAAGGAGGACAGTCCCTGGGGGCAAATCAGGGTCAGAAGTCAGGGTGGAGAGCAGACGCCAATGGCCAGAGACAGAGCTTCCTGGAGCAGCTCTCTGCCCCGGGACCAGGCCCACTCCTAGGAGTGAAAATGCAATGAGTGCCCTCTAGCGGCCTCGAGGTGTCCCGGCACTGAGGGAGACGTCCTGAGTCTGGGGGAAACCGTGAGAAACTGGGGGCAGTGGCAGGAGAGCCTGCTCTCAGCCTTCAGCAAGGCTCAGGCCTCCTTCCCACGTGGCATTGCAGCTGGGCCACTTTGGATTTTAAAACATTAAATCTCCTTTCAGTTCCCATTAATTGAATTTAGCAAATGTTTCTGAGCACCATTCAAACAGGGTACTGGGCTTTATAGAATGTTATCAATAACCTGACGGTGAAATCAGGATCCTCAATTTACAGAAACCGAGGCTCATAGAGGTAATTTGCCCAAGGTCACAAAGCTGGGCTGCGGCAGTGCTGGGACCCAGATTCCAGCCCAGCCTCTCCATCCTTCTCTAAGCCTAGCTGCCCAGATGCCAGGCCTTCTGCCAGGTCCTTCGGGGACAGAGGAGAGGGGGCCAGCCAGGGGCTCAGATACAGGGCCCAGCTGACTGCAGCCCTGCCTGCCTGGCCTCAGTGCTCTCTGACCCACTACTCTGGGCTCCAGGCTCCCCGGGGGCCTGTCCCCTATCCCGCCTCAGGCTTGCTTCCTCCTGCCTCTGTGTCTGTAAACTCCGTGCCTGCCCTTCTCCCTCCCTCCCTCTCCCCCCTCAGATGCCCTTGCACTCATTTCCAGTGGCGGCAGGCTGCCGGTCCCTGAGGGCCCGAGACCTAGCTCCTGCCTCTTTTCCAGGCAGACTCCTAACCCTCCGGCCCTCCCACCCTCAGGCCTCTCCTTGGGGTCCCTCTCTCTCTTCTCCACCCTTACTTGGCTCCTGCCTCACTCCTACCCCACTGTGGTTTATGCTAGTCACTTGCTTACTTGCCTTTCTCCTCCACCATCACTCTGTGAACTCCTCAGGTCCGGGGGCCGGGGGAGGGGGGGGGGGCGGGGGAGATTAACTCTTTCAAAAAGTTAAGAACAATTTCTGATGTGGCTTGTGGGCAATGTGGAAAATACAAAAACATACAAAGAAGACAACAACCCCCATCACCTAGAAATAACCATTGTTAACATATCGGTAAATTAAAAAATTATGAATACTATCTACCACTTACTGAGCAATTGCCTGTGCTAAGGGCTTGGCACACATTATTAAATCCAACCCATCACCATACAGAGTTAAGTATTATTTATTTTCCTTTCATAGATGAAAAAACTAAGCTTCAAAAGATAAACTTGGGGCCAGCCTGGTGGCACAGCGGTTAAGTGCGCACGTTCCGCTTCGGCGGTCCGGGGTTCGCTGGTTCAGATCCTGGATGCAGACATGGCACCGCTTGGCAAGCCATGCTGTGGTAGGTGTCCCACATATAAAGTAGAGGAAGATGGGCACGGATGTTAGCTCAGGGCCAGTCTTCCTCAGCAAAAAAAGAGGAGGATTGGCAGCAATTAGCTCAGGGCTAATCTTCCTCAAAAAAACAAAAATTAACTTACTTCCCTAAAGTCACCCAGATAGAGAACAGAATTATACTCAAGCTCTCGTTAAGTCCAAATTTTATGCTCTCAACCACTGTGTTCTCATGTATTCACGTGGCCTTCCCTTCAATCCTCCTTCTCTGCAGAGACGTGCATATTAGAGTTAATAAAACTAAACTCAAACCAAAAAACAGAAGACAAGTCGCCCAGAGTTCTACCCCCTGAAGATAACCGCGGTTACATAATCTGGGCTTCTATTTCAATCATTTTCCCAGGCTCACACATACGCTTTTGTTCTTCCCAAGTGAAGTCAGGATCACACTAAAGTTTTGTATTCTGCCTTTTAAAAGACCTAAGATGTCCTAAGTTTTTCCACCACCGGCCAACATTCTCCCTGAACACGAACTGAAGTGGGCGGTCATCCTGCTGCGTGGACGACCAGTGCTGGGTTTTCGGGCTGCCCCCCGGGCAGTGTCCCCGCGCCGGCGCAACCTGGGACCCAGCGGGCGCTCGGGGACCGGCCGAGGGCGGGCGAGAGGCGCGGCTCGGACCCTGCGCGCGGCCCCAGCGCGGTGGGCTGGGTGGGCAGGTCCCGCGCGCGCCTGCGCGCCGAAGCGTGTCAGTTTCGGGGAGGACCGCGCGGGGCCGGTCGAGGCGGGGTTGGCTTCAGATTTCACATGGTTTCTTCGGACAGGGACATTCTGGAGTTTGGGACCGACTTCTGGCAGACGCCGGCGACGACTTCTCGGCCCAGGACCCAGTTACCCCGCCGCCCCGCCCGGCCGGTCGCCACTCGGCCTGGGTTAGACGGTCCCGGGGGAGCCGCCGGGGCGGGGCTTGGCCGCGGGGCGGGGCGTTCCCGCCAAATTCGGGCGCCAGCCCCGCGGCGCGGCGGTATCGCGAGAGCTCGCGGGCGGCGCGCAGCTCCGGGCAGCTGCTCTTCCCGGCCGGCGTCGGCGGCGCAGTGCGCAGGCGCGGCGGGCGGGTTTCCCAGGGCTACAGCCAGCGCCGGCGCCGCCGTGTGCTCGTCCGCCGCCCTGCGCCATGGCGGGCTGCGCGGCGCGGGCTCCGCCGGGCTCTGAGGCGCGCCTCAGCCTCGCCACCTTCCTGCTGGGCGCCTCGGTGCTCGCGCTGCCGCTGCTCACGCGCGCCGGCCTGCAGGGCCGCACCGCGCTGGCGCTCTACGTGGCCGGGCTCAACGCGCTGCTGCTGCTGCTCTACCGGCCGCCGCGCTACCAGGTGCAGACCGCGCGGGGCCGGGGGCGCGGGGGCGGGGCGATGCGCGTGGCTCCTTCCCCCCGGGGTGGGGCCCGCAAGAGGGGCTGCCTCCTCCAGGCGTGTTGTTTAGCCGCAAGTTCAGGCGGCAGGAGGGACCCTGCCTCGCCAGGCTCGGGGGACGTGGGGCGCGGGCCCGCTCCACCCGGCGGAGTGGGTGGGAAATTGCAGTTGGTGCGGTTCGGCAGCTGCGACAGATGCGCCGGCGTGGGGAATGAGCGAGCCCACGGGTCCCTTTATGTAATTTAAGGTGTAGAGACCTACCTGCTACCAAGTTTGAGGTCAGGGGCCCCGCAGTTTCGTGGAGGGGGCTGGGCGCAGAGGCGCGGGTGCCCCGACCAGATTCGCTGCATGGACTTGGGAGAATCTGGCCAGTTAACTAGGTTCATACAGTTTTCCCACAGTCCTGAGTAATGATAGCAATAATAATGATAGTAATGGCAGCTAGAACTTACGCAGCACTTACTCTCACGTACTTTACGTGGGTAATCCTAAAAGGTAGGTACTACTATCATGCCCATTGTGTAGGTGGGGAAATCCGAGGGCCAGAGGGGTGTAGTTTCTTCCGCAAGGCCACACAGCCAGAGAGGGGTGGGCTTGGGATTTGAACGCAGGCAGCCCTGCTTCACCCTCTTAACCTCTGAGCAGATCGGCTCTACATGCTCGCCACCGTCTGCTCCTGCAGCCCGGAACAGCTGGGTGACTGAGCTTCTTTTGGGCCCGTTTCAGATAGCCATCCGCGCTTGTTTCCTTGGCTTTGTGTTCGGCTGCGGCATGCTGCTAAGTTTCAGCCAGTCTTCTTGGAATCACTTTGGCTGGTAAGAAGTACTTCGCGAATAATGGTTTTGAGTTGCCAGTGGGGGGGATCAGACGGTCAGTAGTGCTGTTTCCTCCTCCCTGACTGGCTGAAGGCTGTTTAGGGTTCCGTGGAAATGAGGTCTCTAGCTTCCACCGAGATGCCGGCATCTCAGACCTGGTGCCCATTGGTTGGTTCTGTTGCAGGCAGAAACAGGTCTCCCTGCCTGGTGCCCTGCTCACAGGTGCCCTCCTCAGTAACATGAGGAGCCCTTCCCGTAAGAGAGTCCAGGTCCTCCGCGACGGCGTGGGCAAGGCTCTGGCTCGTCTTCACACACCTTTTCCGTCTCTGATTTCTATTAAGTGACATCTAGTGCACCCTCCACAGCCAGTGTAGGATTTTTCCCTACACTATGATTTCAGTCCCTTGAGGCTTCTAGTCCCTCACCTGGACATGAACCAGTGGCTTCGAGGTAAAAAGCTTTACCTCCTATTATCAACACTCTGAGCCGTCGCATCCTTCTTTGCTGGAATTATTTCAGTTTTGTTGAATTTTTGTATTCAACATACATCACTGCTTTATTTTGATATTTCTCTCCTTCCTGTTTTACTGTGCGTAGGGTCATTTTTTTAAAGGCTGAGGGGTCCATAATGGCTTCCTAACCTGTGTTTGTTTGCCTGTAACATTAAAAAATGTAGTCCCTTTGAAACCCCACTTTCTGCAAACCTAAGGGAGTCATGCCACATAGTGTGCCTGGTGTCCACTTTCAGACAGGTGACGACAGGACCACATCATAGAATTCAGGGACAGTTCACCAGACCCAAATCCATACTGTGACTTGTGGCTAACCTGATTCTTTTGCCCTGACTTAGCTGTCTTTTTGTTTTTAAATAGGTACATGTGTTCCCTGTCATTGTTCCACTATTCTGAATACTTAGTCACAGCGGTCAACAATCCCAAAAGTCTGTCCTTGGATTCCTTTCTCCTGAATCACAGTCTGGAGTATACAGTAGCTGCTCTTTCTTCTTGGATCGAGTTCACACTTGAAAATATCTTTTGGCCAGGTCAGTGTGCTGCCCTACTTTCCCATCTGGAGGGGAGGAGGGTGTCTTCCTCTCGGGCCTGGGGACAGTGACCTGGGTTCGCCTCTCAGGTGTAATCTCCCTGGGACCTCCGTCTCCACTAAGCTCTTTATAAAGGACGAGCTCCGCTTGTGGATTCCGCTTCTGGATTTTGAATCGAGGACGGGTTGACCTTTTGCTTTAAACCTTGCATAACGTAGTGCGCCGTCTAATATAAAGCTCCAGCCTTCGATGGTCCTCATTTTATAGGCAGAGGAGATTTTGGCTCTGTTCATTTTCTGTGAGTTGAGAAATTTCATGTGAAGTTTTTATTAGCAAAAACCTGTGCATCTGGCACCTACTCTCAGGTCGAACTTTGCACAGCGCATGAAATAAAATATATGTGGTTCCCAGGACTCTCTGACGGGCCAAGGCAGGAAATGCTGGATGCTTCTCTGCTTCACTTAGCTGTGCTTGTGTCCAAGTGAAGGATGGGAGTGTGTGGCCGGGGGACGTGGACTGAGAGCCCATCAGCCCTGCCATGGCGCTCTGATTGGCTTGTTGGCACTTTGAAATAAACAGATGAACAGCATAACTTAGGAGAATGTGTTTTGCTTATAATTAAATTTTAACGTGATGATGAATGCTAAGTGCACACTAGCATGTTTCCTAGTGTTCCTGTCTTTGGAAAAATGAGTTAATTTTAAGTATTCAAAGGGGGGAGCTCGACAGTCCAGTTTCTTCACTTCCCGTTTGTCACCGACGATGTCTCTCCTGCAGAACTAAAGCAGATCACGTGGCTCAGTGCCACGGGGCTGCTGATGGTGGTCTTTGGAGAATGTCTGAGGAAAGCGGCGATGTTTACAGCGGGGTCCAATTTCAACCACGTGGTGCAGAATGAAAAGTCAGAAACCCATACTCTAGTGACAAGCGGAGTGTATGCTTGGTTCCGGCACCCTTCTTACGTTGGATGGTTTTACTGGAGTATCGGAACCCAGGTACAGTATCAGACATGACACAGGTCTCCCTTTTACAATTTTGTAATTGACATATAATTCATATACCATAAATCATTTCAAAGTGTACAAGTCAGTGGGTTTTAGTGTTTTCACAAGGCTGTTGGTCCTCTTTAAATAGGTACATGTGTTCTGTCATGTTTCAAGTGATAGCTAAATAAAGGTCACAAGAACTGATTTAGTCCTTAACCTCTTTTACCGTATACCTAAGATCTGGACATCCTCAATTTGTAGGCTCTTGGTGATTCCAGGTGCTGTTACCCCATTTCCCATACCCTTCTCTGCCTCTGTAACTTAGATCTGGAGCACCCCAGTGAGGTGAGGACAGAGATGGGGCTTTGGGGGAGAGCCCTCTGGCATGCAAGTGGCAGCTTAGCTGATTTTCATTAGGAGCTGCTATTGGTGAGGCCATGGTCACATTCTAGGTTTAATGTGAGCTGTGTAGGTTTATTCTGTCTCTGGCTGCAGACCGAGCCTTGTTTCTTGACCGTTGTCCCCTGAATCTCTTCTCTTGGTCCTAGAAGGACTTTGCCAGAGAATGTGATCAGAGCTTAGAAAACTCGTCACCTCTTTGGGAAATCCAGTCTGGGCCCCTAAGTGTCCCATCGGCAGTGCATGGTCCACGGGAATTCTCTGGTGACCCCCAGTGGTGGAGTCGGGCCAGGTTACCCCCCAGCATTTCTTTTAAAACTTGCATTTCTGAAACTTAAGATCCCCGTATTAACAATCATATTCCCTGGGAACACATCCATTATAGTTGAATCATGTAATTTGCCATAAATGCTAACTATGTGCCTAAGTGCTCTGGGACTGAAGAGTTTTTCATACCTCTTTGATTGTAGATGTTTTTACACTGACTCAGCTTATACATGTGTGAAAATGGAACAGGCCTTTCCTGGAACAGTACTTATTGTGTATAGAACACTCCGTTTTCTTATTATTAATTGTAGTGCTGTTTATGATGCCCTGAATTGAATTCATGGCTCAGTAATGGGTCGTGGCCTCAATTGGGAAGCCTGGCCACCGGGCGTGCCAAGAAGCTGCCCATGTCTGCCGGCTGAGGGCACAGGCTCTGGGGTTGCTGACCCAGCCAGCCAGTCCAGGCTCTTACCTTGGCTGCTTGGCTTCCCTTTCTTCCCACATTAAGTGGGGACAGCAGCACCACCTCAGAAGTTGGCTGCGGGGGTCAAATGGCTTATTGTTTTAAAGGGCTTAGCATGTGCTGGGGACACGGTAGGCACTCCATAAACAGTGATGAGAATCAGGAGTCGAGGGCGTGTGGCTGGTTCTCTTGGTGGGAGTCACCCACTTGGGGAGGACCTGTGTCTGGAGGGTCACTCCAAGTGGGCAGGGTGGGTTAGCAGCAGCTTCCCCCAGAGCTGGGCGATGCTCTTGGCCTGGAAGGACTGTTTGGGATGGATCAGTGGGCAAGACGTTCCTAAAAGTGGAAATACCACGAGTAAGGAGGTGAGAGGCAATCAAAGTAAATGTAGCTGAGCGCAGGGGCTGGAAGAGGTGGGCTGAGGCGCTCCTTCTCCAGGTTTAGGTGTTGGAACGACCTGAGCAGGGGAGTGGTTTGATGAAAGAAGTGACTTCGGAAGTTCGGTTAAGTGGCAGTGTATCGGGTACAGGGCTAGGCTTTGGGGGCCAAGGGCAAGGGACCAGGTAGCTGTGAGCAGGGAGGGGTGCCTTAGGATGCGGTGGGGCAGGAAGAGGCCGGGCTGAGCCGTGCGGGAAGGCAGTGTGCACGGAAGGGTCATTCACACATGGGGGCCAGAGGAGGAGGAGTCGTCACCCCAGCCTGAGGGTTGAAATCCAAGAGGTTGATCTTTCCTTTTAATTTTTAGGTGTCTCTCAGGTAAGAGGAACAGCAGCAGAGGGTATGAAGGAAAGCTACAGGGATGAGTGTTTAGTTCTAACGTGACAGTGGTCATGTGATCTCACTTAACGCCATCCTGGTCCTGACTCTCAAAGACACTGATAGTATTTCGGCAGTCTCTTGGCCCTTGGCAGGAAGTCCTCTGTGAGTGTTCGAGAGAAGCAGATGCTGCTGCAGCTCGGGTGTCGCGTCACTCTGACACTGATCAACTTCCTCTTCCCTCTGTCAGGTGATGCTGTGCAACCCCATCTGTGGCATTGGCTACGCCCTGACAGTGTGGCGATTCTTCCGTGATCGAACAGAAGAAGAGGAGATCTCACTGATTCACTTTTTCGGGGAGGAGTACCTGGAGTATAAGAAGCGGGTGCCCACAGGCCTGCCTTTTATAAAGGGAGTCAAGGTGGAGCTATGACACAGCAGGGGCCGGGGGCCTCCCAGTCCGTGCAGCCCAGGATGGAACTGCCTCCTGTTGGCCACTCTGCAGAAGGGATTTTCTTAATCGTTTTATACATCACCAGTTACTCTTCTGGAATATCACTCAAGACCAAACGGTCAGAAGGCCTTAGGACCAAAGGACCCCCGGAGCGATCTGTTCTTGGGCTGAGTTAAGGTAGGATATAAAGATGGACAAGAGCAAATAATAGCAATATCCAACAGTGCCCCTCCAGAAGTGCCCTGGTGAAAACCCAGGCCATGCTCCATCCCCCACGGGGCGACAGTGTATGTGGGTTGTGACCAGGACCCCTCGGGAGAGGTGGACTCACTGTCTCGCTCGTCGAGGAAGGCTTCTCCAGCAGGCAGGGGGATGTGAGCGCCAGTGCTTATTAGCGTTAGGAACACATTCAAAATCTTTAAGTGGAAAACACAGACAGCACAGCTTTAACCTCCTTATTTCTGTCTTTACGTGCATGAGCGTCTATACCGTTTTAAAGATACTTCGTTATAAAGCACTTTGGCTCTTCCTATATTTAATCATATTTACATATCTATTTTTTATAAATAGCAGTATAAATTCAAAGGGGACTCACTGGTGTTAATAGCCCCAGCTTTTATTTGGCAGAAAGGAAGCATGGACACCTCCAGGCACTTTGGCCAAGTGGCTTTGTGTCACCAGAGCACCCCAGGCCTGGGAGACCGTGGGCCCCTGTGGCTTTCCGGGGTCTCCCGAGAGGAGGCAGTTATCAGTGACAGGCATGTCAAAGATGTGTCATTTTTCCTTTATCCAAGAAATGCTTATTGAACGCCTGCTCTGTGCAAGGCATTGTTAAACTTTGAGAAATACTGCTCCCCATTTACTTGGGATTTTATTGTATTTTCCCATAGCTTGTATTTTTGTGTTTGATTTAAATCTTTTAAGTATGGATTTCTACGTTCTGTTCTCAGAATTCCATCGTCCCTAATGCCATTTCAAACTGTCTTTTCCAAAAGCGTTTGAGAGCATATACAACTACAAAATTCAAGCAAGTCGACTCATAAAAGTCTTAAATAGAGCAAATAATCTCAACAGTATTGTTTTTCGAGTTTGGGGCAAGTGATGGGCTTTATGAGTCAAACATAGAAGTTTTAAGACGCTTGGTTCATTCTGGACTAGATAGGAACTGTTCTCAGTGTGAAACCCGTCCCATGCATTTCTGCAGTGGCGCCAACTAAGTCGGCGGCAGCCCCCAGCGGGAGCGCTGCTCCGCTGCCACGCACGCCACGCGGCTTTCGAGGAGCCACTTAACCTTTCTGTGCCTAGACCTCCCCATTTGTAGAATGGGGTCGATACCACCTACCTCACAGGGGTGTTGTGAAGACTTAGAAGAACAACGTCAAACGTTTTTAATACTTAGAGAAATGACATAAATGAAGTCTATACTGTATATGACCTACACAACGGACATTTGGTTAACTGTACCAGATACTGGAAATGTGTGTTCAAAAGAGCATTTTACCAACTCAAAATATTTACTCATTTCTAGATTTTATGGCCTAATTAGTTTTTTTGTTATTATGTATACCAAAGAGGTTTACGGGTTCTTGGATTGCTGATATGACACTTGCTGGTGTGAGAACTAGACAGACTCGACTGTCAGCCCCGGTCAGGGTCTGGCGGTCAGATTCTGGCCAGGGCGGCTGCTCGAGCCCTTGGCAGCAGGTTCCTCTGGCATGGACACGCCCCGTGGGACGGCAGCATGCACTTACTCTGTCTGGGAACTTGAGTTGAATCAGTTCTAAACTTGTTCTCCAGACCACGCTGAGTGAAGTGAACTCCACTCTGTAGGATTGCAAATGGAGGAGGGCGTGGCTGGGGTTTTGGCAGCCATCCCCAGCTCTCTGAAGGAAAGTTCCTTCTTGCTGCATCTAGCAGGATGGGACCCAACTTTCCTTCCTACTAGTGGCCATGAAGCTGTCTTTTTAATAGATGGAGAGGAGCTCATGACGGCACTGGCTTTGTGGACCGGCAGGCTGGAGGTGTTGGCTTTGATGATCTGTACTCCCTCCCCCTGCCGGGTCCAGAAAGCCCGCCTTCCTGCCGGGCCGAGCTCAGAAGGTGGGCCTCAGTGTTTGCAGTGAGATGCTGCCTGACGTTATATTCTGCTCTGCTGTGAAGGCAGGTCCGTGGGTGGAGGCAGGGAGAGAGCATTCCTACCCTCGTTCGCAACCCCAGGGCAGAAGTCAGCAACGACTTAGAGATGGAGATGAACTCCTTAGGGGCAGGATTGGGAACGTGATTGACTTTCATCCAGCACTGAGATCCTCAGATTATTTTTAGCTTTATAAATTTAGCAGTGACAGTGTACACGGCAGAGAATCAGGTTAATGAGGTACAGGCTTTTTGGGTATTCCCAAAAGCTTTTGGGTAAAGGCCACATCACCAGTTCCCTCAAATTAAGAAACCATCAAGAGATTTCTTCTTCCATTGCAGGTTTTAAAGTGGAGATTCTTAAGTGGAAACCAGGCACTGCACAGAACAAAGCCACTTTGAAGCAGCGTAAAATTCAGCATTTTATGAGAATTTGTAGGTTGCAGCTGAGAATGGCAGTTTACAAAAAAAGAGGTAGTGAGTGGGATGAGCCTGGCAGAAAGCAAAAGGCAGCATACCCCACCGTCCCTCCATTGGTATCAACTGCTTCTTGAGCCTAAAATGTAAACTTCATTAATCCTTCCCATTTATTTAACACTCTGGGTGATCGACATGCTTGGGGAACTGTCCCCACATGTGTGTTCATAGGTTCGGCTCAGGGGTCTCGGCCCCAGCTCGTTTGGTAGCAGTCCCTCCGGAACAGGTACAGTAAACCACTGACCCTCTCTGCACTTTCTTACTGCCTCAGATAGCGCTGTCTCCCACCGTCTTTTGCGTCTGTAGTGGCCTGGCGAGGTTAGGCAGCCTGACCTCTCCAGCGTGGTGGGAGAGGCTTGCTCTCTGTCCTGCGTGCAAGCTTGACGCCTTGTCCTTGTCCCCTGGGCGTGGTCCCCAGCGCTCACTCCCTAGGAAGCCCTCCCATAGCTAGGAGAGTAACTTAATGGAGTAATTCTACTCTTCTTTTTACATGCAGAAATGTTGATTTAAATATTTTAAATTGGATTTTCTTTCACAGGTACTGATTATCCTTTCCAATTCTTAAATAAAACTGTACTTGATTTCACTATCAACGATGGTGTGATTGTGTGGGATGCAGAAACTCTTAAGATCACGTCACTTGCGGCTAAGAAATGTCCAGAACCTACAGCATAAAACCAGATGTATTTTGCCTACTTGATTCAGTTCTGAGTTCCCACCTCTAACCAGATTGTAATGACAAGTTCCTCCTGCCCTTCAGGCTCCCGTGGGAGTGTGTGATGCCTGGAGTGGGCACGTGAGGGCTCTGAAACGGCAGGCGCAGAGGCCTGGGCTGTTGGGGCGACTGATGTGTGAATGTACTGACGTGCGGGCCTCCCTGGTGCGTAGGAGCCGTTCGCTGTTTGAGCCACTGAGTCAGGCTGATTTTTGCTGAAAATGTGACTATCTGGGCATCATTTTGCCTCCCAAACTTTAAATTTTAGGTCATTCAGGTAAATTTTCCTTTTTCAGCATTTATTAAGTTGCACTCGATAAACAGGATACTGTGTAGGAATGGAAAACTAGAGAAAAGTTGCTGCAGAATCGTGCTCTACTCTCGATAGATGGTGAGCACAGGAGAGGATGGCAGTCTGGGAAAGCAGTGGAGAAGTGGCGATGGTCACCGTCTCCTGCCATGCACGTGCCCGCCGCTGCGCCGCTGCTCCTCTGCTTTCCACGCTCGGCCTTTGCCGGAAAGGGAGAAAAGCTGGAGCGAAGGTTTTCCCTTTGGCCGAGTCAGTGCTCAGATTACTGGGTGGACCTTGCCAGCGATGCCCCGGCTAACAGTGGGGCTGTGATTCGGGGAAGCTGGATCGCTGGGAGGCACGGCAGGTGCCGCCCCGAGCTGGGGTCTTGTTTTCTGGGACTCAGACCCGCCCTGCCTGACGGGAGCGTGCCCACCCGGCGCTCTGCACTAGGGAGACGCCGGGTGAGCAAGGGGCTTGAGGCTGGATGTTCGCTCATGTCACGTTTTCCGTGTGGACGGGCACTGCGTCCCAGGTCAGTGTGATGAGGACCAAGACTTCACAGGATGTGGACACAGGGAAAACGAAGCTTAGCCCACGCTGAAGAATCTGAACTTGGGCCTGCCAGAGGGCTTCTGGGCTTCTGGGCTGATAAATGACTCCCCTTTCAACACATGATGGTGATGGAAACAACCTCCTCTTAAACGTCGTGGTGGTGATGTATGTGTTGTAAAATGCCCAACCCCCTGGGACCAGTCCTATCTGCTAAGTGGGGCGCTCTCTCCGTGTGGGGACGTCACCCCCGCTTCTTGGTTTGGGTCTGTGAGGATCTTTATTTTTCAGTGGAGGCTCTTCTGTGAGGCTGTTCGGAGTCCGGCTGTTTGCTCTAGGCTCTGAGGTCTTCTCCCTCTTTTCCGTGACACTTACCGGATCATTCCTAAGGGAATACTTGGACATGAGCTCTTGTACTCCGCCCCCCATTTCACTGCACCCCAGCACTAAAATCCACTTGGGCCAAGGCTTTCGGAGTGGAAAGCCTTTCTGGAAGGCACCAGTGGTGACCACATCTTCAGACCCAGAACTGTATGTCTCCTGAAGGATTCTTAATCTTGTTTCTGATGATTTTTAGTTGCCAAAACATCAGCAGTTCAGACTGTTTCAGCAGCTTTTGACAACAAGCTTTGAAGTGACACTCCCCTGAAGCATCAAGCTGAGCTAAGCGTGGTGCCAGGGAGGGTGGGACTAGTTTGTGCTCCGTCACCAGCCCTGCTGTGGCTCTGGACCACAGCACGCCTCTCCACGCCCTCTGGGCTCTTCCAGCTCCAGCTTCCTACAGCTCCCTTCTCCGCCCCGTGACTTAACACGTTTTACTGGGAGCAAAATACTGCAGGGTCAGCCTGTGACAGTGACGTGTCTGCTCCTGCACATTCTTTCCTTCCTCTGCCAAGTGTTTTGGCAGCCACTGTGGTTCCAGTGACCGGTGATGCTCTCACCAAGAAACAGTCCTCAGTCACTTGTTCTCACAGAAGTGTATTTGCTCACTTGGCGGAAGTACCTGTGGCTCTTGGGGATGTGAGCGGTGCGGGCAGCAGCCACGGCATCCAGAGTCATAGAACACGGGTCATATGTGTCAAAGTCACATCTGTCATCTAGGAAGTCACTTGTTTGAAGTCACCGTCCAGATTAAGAACCATATTTTATAAACTGAGGCCCAGCTGAGGCTGCAGAGCTGGTCAGGGACAAGCTGGGGTCTGTCTTCGTCCTGTCGTCTGTAGCTCTCTCTCAGATTAAATCGTTTGCTCCCTGGTCTTGGAGGGACGTGTTTACCTGGCCTGGGTATCGCCGCTCACGCTGTCCTCATACATGTTTTGTGGATGCTCTGACTGGTCATCCGCGGGTGCCAGAAACCTGCGCCGGAGAAAGCAGTTACCAGGAGTCTTGAAGGAGCAGAGCCAGCCCACTGCGTGTCCTTAAGGTCACCCTGCACAAGAACCAGACTTGGGCAAACACTCAAGGGCTTGCCCAGGGACTCGGGCCTCAGATATTTACGAGGGCTGGCGAGTCGCCAGGGCCGGGGCTGCAGTAGTGGACGAGAGAGGCCGGGCCAGCTCCGTTCTGGTTGAGGAGCCGTGCCACGGTTGGGAAGGAGGCAGCGCAGGCCCAGGCGGTGGGGAGTGACAGTGAGAAGGCCTGCTATATAATAGGGTGGTTTGGGACGGCCCCGCTGTTGACATTCAAGCTGAGGCCTGAGTGACAAAGATCCACTGGACGCTCTGAAGCGAGAACGTCCCAGGCAGAGGCCCGGAAGCGGGAGCCAGTCCAGCCCTTTGAGAACTGAAAGGCCATCGTGACTGAGGCGTGAGGGGCCGACATGGTTAGAGTGGGCAGGGAAGGTCCCGAAAGGGCTGTCAGGCCCCGGCGTGATGGGAAGCAGAGGCTTTCAAAAGACCGCTGGCTGTGTGACATGCTGGAGAGGTTGGGCGCGGGGCGGGGACGGGGGGTGGCGATAGTGGCTTAGACTGGGGGTGGCAGTGGAGACAAAGCAGGTAGAGTGAGGCAGAATCGAGTCAACAAGACTGGGGATGGGTTGGAAATGGGCTGGGGGAAAGAAAGGAATCCAGGATGTCCCCCAGGCCTTATACTCGAGCCCCCAGGTGACTGCGACGCCGTTTATTGAGGTGAAACAAGAGTAGCGTGTTCCAGGGAGGAAACCGAGTTCTGCAGGCCGTCGTGGGATTCGAGGTGCCTGTGAGACATCCCAGCAGAGACCCCCAGGAAGGGGCAGTGGCGATGTCTGGAGCTAGGGGGAGGGATTGGTGGTCGTCTGCATCACAATGGGGTCTTACAGCCAGGGGACCAGATGCAGCCCTTGAAGGAGAGGCGGTAGGATGAGAAGAATGCCTGGGACTAAGTCCTGGGGAAAAGTGACACTTGGGCATTGAGCCGCGGAGGCAGAGCCGGCCAATGAGACGAGGGAAGAATGGCTGGAGAGGCAGGAGGGACACCAGAGTGTGGAATGTCTTGGAAGCAAGAGGAGAGCACGGCGAAGACGACGGACAGTCCACGCTCAGGAGTGCTGCTGAGAGGCCACGGGATGTGGCCGAAAGGTTGCTGACGATGGCAACAGGAGCAGATTGGGGGGCGGGCGGGCTCAGGTGGGTGCGTGTGGTTGGAGGCTGGGGTTGCAGTGGGTTGCCAGCAGTGGGAGGGGAGGAAACAGAGGCAGCAACCCCAGACATCTGGAAAGGAGGACCGTGAAGAGGGGCAGGGATGGCCTCCCTCCTCGCCCCCAACCTCCAGGAGCTGGGCTCCAGCCTGAGCTCCTCTCCGTTTGCTGATACTGGCTGCGGAGGCCGTTCCCCTGCAGACACGGCTCTGCCAGCGTGCCGCCCCTTGCAGATAGGCAGAAGCACACTCCTTGAAGCAGAGCACACAGTGAAAGCACGCAGATGATAAGAGCAGGGCTTAGCATGTGCACACAGTATGAACAAGCTGGGTAGGCAACACCCAGAACGTTGCCTCCACCCAGAGGCCTCCCAGGATAGTCACCAGCGCCACTGCCAACACCAGCCAGAGGTTAGTCTGCCGGGTTTTGAGGTTTTATAAATGGAATCATACAGTATCTGCAGTAAACTACTTCGAATGTCAGCCTAGGAGGAAACATTGCAACTAGTTCTATGTGGACAGAGATTTGATCAAAACTGTGCAAAAGGTATGCTAGGTTTAACCTCTCAGTGTGACGTGTTAGAATAGTCACTTAAGGGGCTGGCCTGGTGGTGTAGTGGTTAAGTTCATATGCTCCATTTCCGCAGCCCAGGGTTTGCAGGTTTGGATCCTGGGCACAGACCTAGCACTGCTTGTCAAGCTACGCTGTGGTGGCATCCCACATAAAATAGAAGGTTGGCACAGATGTTAGCTCAGGGCCAATCTTCCTCACCAAAAAAGAAAAAAAAAGTCACTTAAAAGGTGGCCTGTCAGTTCTGGATCTATATGGCAATTGCACACACACACTCTAATTTTCCTCCTTCCCGAAACTATTAAAGGGACCAAAACAACAAGGGGGAAAGAAAAACCTCTCCAGGTTGAGAACTGGAAAGGATAACATCAAAATTTTGGGAGCTGGACAGCATGTGGATGAGTGGTAACTAGCAGATCTGAGGAACCTGAGTTCGAAGCAGACAGCAGGACGAGCTGAGGCTCGACCACACCACAGAATCCTCAGGGGTCCAGAAACTGGCACCTCACCCCTGCAACAGGGAGGGTGGGGCTGAAATAGGAAGGCCCATGACGGTCAAGGTCCCCTCTCCCCCACTCACAGAAGTCTAAAGGGTGAGTCTCTGAGAGGGTCCACCCCACAGGTGAGGGCTCCTGAAAACCAGAGAATCAGGTGTGCATGCCAGTGCTCCAGACAGTGACCTTCTAGGAAGGAAACGGGGAGGAGACCTGCCATGGACACTGGGGCATTCCAAAAAGCAGCCACAGAAGCCCTGCCCCCCAGGCCCCTTCAGGGAAGCACTCCCCAGGTGCTCAGGGCTTCCAGTCTGCTCCCCTCCCCCCAGATGCTAATATGAGCAGAAGCTCAAAGATTTCCTGAGATCTAAGAAGAGCTTTTTTGTTTTGTTTTGTTTTTAAGGAAGATTAGCCCTGAGCTAACATCTGCCGCCAATCCTCCTCCTTTTGCTGAGGAAGATTGGCCCTGAGCTAACATCCATGCCCATCTTCCTCTACTTTATATGTGGCAAGCCTGCCACAGCATGGCTTGCCAAGCGGTGCCACATCTGCACCCGGGATCCAAACCGGCAAACCCTGGGCCACCGAAGTGGAACGTGTGCACTTAACCGCTGTGCCACCGGGCCGGCCCTGAGAAGAGCCTTTAACATGGAAGATGGAAACCTACGCAGATGAAAAGTAACTTGTAAACAAAAGCCTTCCGGGAGAAGGACACTTAAAAACCAGACACAAAAACACCTATCTGCCCAAAGGGGAAGATGCGTGTCCATGAAACGGCAGAATGCTGAGGAAGAACAGTCAGGGTACAGAAAAGAGCTCCTGGACATGAAAAACGAACATTTAAAAAGCTCCTGGACAGTAAAACCAATTCAACATTTTAAAAAGAGCTCTTAGGGGCTGGCCTGGTGGCACAGTGGTTAAGTGCACACATTCTGCTTCGGCGGCCCGGGGTTCACCAGTTTGGATCCCGGGTGCAGACACGGCACTGCTTGGGAAGCCATGCTGTGGCAGGCATCCCACACATAAAGTAGAGGAAGATGGGCACAGATGTTAGCTCAGGGCCAGTCTTGCTCAGCAAAAAGAGGAGGATTGGCAGTAGTTAGCTCAGGGCAACTCTTCCTAAAAAGAGCTCTTAGAAATTTTCTTCAAAAATAAAGAACTCATGGGCCCTGACCTGTGGCCGAGTGGTTAAGTTTGCGCGCTCTGCTTCAGTGGCCCAGGGTTTGCTGGTTCGGAACCTGGGTGCGGACATGGCACCACTTATCAGGCCATGCTGAGGCAGCATCCCACATTGCCACAACTAGAAGGACCCACAACTAAAATACGCAACTATGTACCACGGGGCTTTGGGGAGAAAAAGGAAAAATAAAATCTTTTAAAAAATAAATAAGTAAAAACAAATAAAGAACTCAATAGAAGGGTTAGAAGATAAGTGAGGCGATCTCCCAGAAAGGACAGCAAAAAGACAGAGATGGAAAACAGGACAGAGAAGGGAAGGTATTCAGAGGGCCAGCCCAGGAGGGCCAAAGTCCAATAATGAGAATTCCAGAAAAAATCAACTAACTAGTTCAAAAAGAAATATGCCCAAACTGAAGGACAACCTTGGAAGCTAGAAGACAATAGAGTGATGCCAAAGGAAAATCATTTGCAATCTAGAATTTCAGTCTAGAATTCCATACCCAGCAAAGCTATTGGTCAAGTGTGAAGGCAGAATAAAGGCATTTCAGGCTTGTGCCAAAACATACACCTCTTGCACACCCTTCCTCAAGGAGCCACTGGGAGCTGGCTCCACCAAACCATGAAAGAGGGAACGTGGGATATAGGAAGCAGGAGATCTCGGGCACGAGCCCAGCAAGTGGAGTCCCCAGGAGGGTGGTGGAGGGAGAGCCCAGGCTGGCCGCTGTGCACCAGACATACAGGGAAAACAGCCCACCCTGGGGACCCAGTGACTTGAGAGACGGGCACATTGAGGACCTGCCACCAAGATCCCTCTCCCTCTGTAACATCTTTTGATGCCCACATACGGTGCTGAGAACCTGGTCTAGGTTCTTGTCTAGACCTGGCTTAACCACATGCTAAGGAAGTTCTGCTCTCTCCTCCATGTCCTGCTGCCTGGATCAGCTGAGGACCCTCATTATACCTCCAAGAAGTATCTTCTCCTTTGACCTACTCCTGGGGGCTAGAGGTGGGCGATTGTGTGCCTAGAAGCAGAAACTCAGAGCAGCCCACTTGCTGTGTTTTTTCTTTCTTTCTTTTCTTTTCTTTTTTTTTTTGCTGAGGAAGATTCGCCCTAAGCTAACATCTGCTGCCAATTTTCCTCTTTTTGTATGTGAGCTGCCACCACAGCATAGCTACTGACAGACAAGTGATGTAGGTCTGCACCTGGGAACTGAACCCAGGCCGCTGAAACAGAGTGCACCAAACTTAACCACTAGGCCACTGGGGCTGGCCCTCACTCTGTGTTCTTGCAGATGTCCACCTGGTCCTCTGCCTAGATGCCCGATTAGAGCCCTTATGACCTGGCCCACTGACTTCCCTGAAAGGGGCTCTTCCACTGTGTCATGCCTTTCCCACACACATTCTGAAGTGTCTTGGCTCCCCTGGGAACACCTCCAGTCTCACCTGGGCTCCAGCCGCTCCTTCACCTTGGCGATGGAACGAACATAGGGCGTGATCTGCTTGGTGACGGTGGTCAGGTAGGCATTCTCCTGCTTCAGCTGGAGAAGGTCATGGAGCTGGGCTGGGGGGCCAAGGCCAGAGCATTGGGTCTTGGCTTCAGATTTTAACTCTCAAACCTCACACCTAAGTATCCCAACTATTTCAGTGATCACCTCTTTAATCAAAGAGTGAGGTCAGACTTGCGGGGGCATTCTACTTACTGAATCCTGACCTCAGATGCATCATTTTGGGGCCAGTTGGCAGCTGTGAGGCAAAGTCAAGAGCTAAGGGGAGGAGCATGGGGGTTGGTGTCTGGTTAGTGGGTAACTCATTCCTGCCCCTGCTAGCACGTGTGTTAGCTCCAGGACAGGGGTGCACCCAGAAGCAGCTGCGTGGGACCTTCATAAATCTCCTGCTCGTTCGCCACCCGCTGGGAGGATTCCTCCCAAATCTGAAAGAGAAAGTAAGCTGGATGTCGCATGGGGCGAGTTGTAATTTCCATGGTGGCATTTTTGTCCTCTAGCTACTCAGAGCCTTATGGGACCCCTAGCCAGTTCATGTGGTTCCAGGCAGCAGACCAGGTTCTAGAGCCTGGCACATGAGGGCCCCATGGGGCACCAGGCCAAGGTCCTCGTTCTCCCCCTTCCTGTCTTGGAGTGGCCCATGTATGTGCTGACGGTGGGGCTGCAGGCGAGTTGGGTGTCTTGGGAGGGGCTACCTCCTGGAAGACCGCTCTCATGCCCTCCACGGAAGTGTACTCCGAGGCGATCTGCGCATCCACCTGCAGGGACTTGTGCAGGATGTCTCCCATGATCTCGGCCTTGATGAGCGAGTGGTGCTTGGTGAGGTCCCGGTGCAACTCCTGCACCTGGTCCTTCAGGTTCTGCATCTCCGTCTGCAGGCGCTGTGCAGAGAGCCCGTGTGAGCACCTGTGGTTCCTGCAGGCTGTGTCCACTGCCAGGGACTCAGAGGGATGGCTTCCAGGCTGGGTGACCAGGACTAGATTAGGCCATCGCTGCACCTTGATGAGGACAGGCTGAAGCCTTTCCCAGCCTGCAGGTACCTGGCCCCCCTCACCTGGTAAGAGTCCTCATAGTGGCGACAGTGTTCCGTGAAGGGTGTATCCTCGCCCTCGGCCAGCAGCACCTTGGTGCTAATGGACCGGTGCAGCGTGGGCTTTTGGACTGGCGACTTCAACATCTTTCCCACCGGGGAAGGGCAGCTGGGCCCCATCAGCACCTTGGGGCCTGAGCCCCCTGCTAGCCTAGGGGGAGAGCCAGTGTGGATGCAGGTGTGCGGCTGGGAGGGTCTGCCCCCCATCCCTGCAGCCTCCCAGGGCTCTCTCAACCTGGACGAACATCAGAACCAGGTGGGAGCCCTGCAAAAGCCTGATGCAAGGCCGCACCCAAGGCCAGGACATCAGCTTGGTATTTTAAAAAATCTCCAGGGTGATGTCAGTGTTTAGAAAGAGTCCCTCAGGATGTCATCAGGGCTAGTCCGGAGTAAACGGTATCTTCACTCACACACACTGGACCTTGCCAGTTGGGCCTGATGCCCAGTCTCCCTTGACTGCGGCTCTGGGGCCTTTGGCACACATGTCCAGCTTGGGTATTTCTCCCAATTCCTCCTGGGGAGGGGAGGGAGGTGTCTTTGCTCTCCAGTCTAGGGCCCCGGAAGTCAGGCCCCACCCCAAGCTGCCCCTTCCCTTCCATCCTCAGGCACCACGCCTGGCAGCCGCAATCGAGGCTGGTTGGGGGCAGCCCCCACATCCTCTCCGTCTTCCTGGAGTGGCCGGGGTAGGCTCTGCTCCAGGTCTGCCATGGGCTTCCCATCTGAGGCAGCCCTGACGGCTGTTTCTCGGCTGGGCGGACTCGCCCTCCCCCGTGGCCATCGTCAGTGCCCAGACCCTGCGCTGGGAACTCAGCGAGGCGGAAAGGCCGGTGCTTGGCCTTTCCCAGCCACTTGGCGGCCCTCCCTGCCCGATGGGGACCTTGTGCCATCCGGGTCCCCCCACCCTGACCCGTCCCTGTGGCGGAGAGGGCACCCCCGCTGCTCACGTGTGGGGGCCACCCCCGGCACCTGCCGCCCCGTGCGGTGCCAGCAGCAGCAGCGGCTCCAGGCAGCGCGCGAACTCAGCGCGGTGGTCGCTGGCGATCTGAGGGGTGGGACGCGGCCATGAGGCAGCCTCCACACCCTGCCGGCCTGGCCCCCGGCCCCCGGTACCCGGGCCGCCTGCGCACCTTGCTGCTCTGCGCCGGCCGGAGGCGGTGCGGCCGGGTGACGACGCCCTGCAGCCTCTCCATCAGCTCCTGCGCAGGCGGGCGGGAGGGCGCTCAGGGGTGGAAGGTGGGGGTGACAGCGAGCGGGAAGGCCCGAGGGCAAGCCTATCTTTGGCAGTTTACCTGATGTCCGTTGGAGGCTCCAAGCCGTCCCTGAGACTGATCTGGAACCCCACCCCACCCTGCCCCCAAATCCACAGGAAAGGTTAAGGTAGCCAACTCCAGTGGACAGTCTGCAGGTGAGGGAGTGGAGGCTTATGTTCCCTTCCAGGATTGCTGTCCTTTTAAAAGGGACTCAGCTGGCCCCTTGAGGGTTTGTAGATGATGGCATGGAGGAGGGAAAGGTAAGCCCAGGGACCCCTGTCCAGTCCTCCAGGTGACAGGCTGCCAAGCCCTGAGATGGCAGTCATGGGTGCGCAGGATGGGCTCCTGGTGGGGAGGGGAGACCCTGCAGGAGCTGGGGGTACTCACGTAGCCCAGGTCCAGGAACTCGGCCTTGTTGGCCAAGCTGAGAAAGGAAGAGCAGATGACCAGGTGAACCTGCGAGAGGGACACTGCTCAGTGCCTGGCCCGGGAAGGTGGCCCTGGGGCCGGGGTGCCCAGCTCTGCACCCCTAGCTCCCCTTACCTGCAGGGTGGGCAGCAGAGTGGCCAAGTGGGCGAGCTGCTCCTTGAAGGCCTTGTCCTTCTCTTCATATTGGCTGGGGGAGGGGCAGGCAGCCTCATCTCCAAGGGGAGGGCTGCCCACCCCCACCTAGGGGGGCCTCAGAGCCGGGCAGTTCCATCTCCCCACCAGCTTTGTGTGTCCTTCCCTGTCACCCTTCCGTGCACCCTGAACCACTCTGCCCTCCTCATCAGGTGGACACCTGGATGTCTTGCTCCCCAGGGAGGGGCGGGGCCTGCCCAGGCCCAGGCTGTGAGCTAGGTATATGGATGGAGGCCAAGGGGCAGGGGGTGGGGACCCTGCCACCACTCACCTCTGCACAGCCTGCAGCAGCAGCGCTTTCCTCTCTGCCAGTTTGTCCTGGGAGAGACAGTCTGCTACTGACTGAGCATCCCAGCCCTGCCACCTCCCAGCACCCTCCCACTCCCCTGGGCCCCAGCCACACAGCTGGTTGGGCTGGCTATCCCTCCACCCTACCTGCCCTGCTACCTGAGCCAGAGGCCTTCCTTCCTGCATCCCACTGCCTGAGAGCCCTATGCCCTCACCTTAAATGTCACCTCCTGGGGGAAGTCTTCCCTGACCACCCCCCCAACCCCCCACCCCTGCAGTACCAGCCTCGGGCAGGCCCGGCACGCCCTCTGGAATTCTCCCCAAAAATGATTAACTCCTGGAAGTAGCTCAGTGCTTGGGTCCAACGCTTGCAGCCCTGCTACACTGAAACTCCACAAGGGCTCCCTGGGTCTGGGCTAGGTCGTGGTGCCAGCCCACGGCTGATGAGGGCGCTCGGCCTATGGCTGTCATCCCCCCTACGCCTCACCTGCATGCTGCCGAAGAGGGCATGGATGGCAGCCTCCTCCTCGGCGGCGCTGCGGCGCACCTCCTCCACCATGGCCTGCAGCAGCGCGATGGCCTCCCGCGTGGCCGTCTGCAGGGCCTTCACGGCCTGGGGACAGGGCGGCCTCAAGCTTGTGGACGCTCTGGTCCCCGAGCCGGCCCCAGCGCACCGGGCACTCCATGCTCACCAGCACCGCCTGCTCCAGCCGCTCGCAGCCCTGCACGTACGCCGACTCGAGGTCCACGCAGTGGGCCCGGCTCTCCCTGCCGGGAAACCGCGAATGAGGTCCGCTCCCCGCAGCCCCCTGACCCCCTCACCTCCCGCTCCCTCTACCCACCCCTGCATGTCCCGGAAGCAGCAGATGCACAGCAGCGACTTCTTGTCCGTGGAGAACATGATGTAGGGCTCGGCGTGCAGCGCTGCGGCGAGGGGGGCGGTGAGGGCTCGGGCAGGGCCTGCCGGCGGCCCGGGTCCCGCCCCTGGTCCCGGTCCCCACCCCGCACGCTATACTCACTGCACTTCGGAAGCACGTCGCGGCTGCGCTGGCCCAGTGCTACGATGTCGTGGCACGCAAACATGCGTGCCCGGTGTGTCTCGTCGCGGCAGCGCGCGCACAGCGGCTGCCCGCACGTGTTGCAGAAGTACGTGGTCTCTGCGTCCTGCAGACAGACCTGGGGCTCAGCCCGCCCAGGGGCCGCTTGGAAACTGCAGCCTCTGCATGTCATTGCGCGCCTCGGTCCCAGCCCGGTAAGGTACGTGGCCAAATGCAGCCCTTTCATGCAATCCCGACGCCCAGCGCTCTAATATACCCAGTTTACAGACGAGAACACCGAGGTTCAAAGAGTAGGTAAGTAGGTCCAGGGAGGGGCAGAACCCCGAATGGGCTTGGGAGGTGGTTACACGGGGTGGGTGTGGAGGCAGCGCAGAAACTGCATTGGCAAAACATTTTACCTACAACAGAAATGTGTGTGTGTGTGTGAAGATTTCTCAAGCCCCCCTTGGCACCCTCAATAGTAACCAAATGTCAGTGCTCCCCTTGGCCATCTGGAGTCAAAACTTGGCTGGGAGGGGAAAGGGAACGAGGGCCTGCTGGTTCCCTTCCCCAGGCCAGACCCAGGGCTGAGTCCAGGACTTGGGCTATAGCTGTGGCATTGACCCCAGCAAGGGCTATGAAAGCACAGACCCCAGCTTCTTACTTTGGCATTCAAGGCCATTTTCTCCCCTGCTCTCCCTACCTCCTGGAGGTCACCTGTGACTCTGTGTCACACATATCCCAGCACTTGCCCAGCACACCTTGAGCTTTTGCTCCTAAAGGGCCATCCTCCCAGGACTCAGAATACCCCAGCCAGCCTCCATAGGCCAGAGTCCCAGGTGCCCTTCACAGCCCAGCCCAAAGCCCAGACTCTGCTTCTTGGCTTTCCTAGACTCAGGGGCAGATTGCTGATCCCCACCAGCACACTGTCCTCCCTTCCCCTTGGGCTGTAGGCAGCTGTGCACAGTGGACCCTCAAGGACCAGCACTGGACTGCCCTTCCTGTGCCAGTTCACAACTCCACCCTGAATTGGGGACCAGTAAGCGCTCCCCAAATTACATGGCTTGAACCTCTGTCGCCATCTGGCTATTGGCTCAAGCCACTTGTTCTGGGCCCCAGTCTCCCCATCTGTAAAATGGGGCCCACATTTGGGATCCAGGGTGCCTTAGAGAGGTGCTGGAGAATCCACTGATGGGTAGTCCTCTGAGGACATGTTGGGCGCATACTGCAGCATCAGAGCCGTGCAGCCGCACACCCTCGGCTCCCCGCCCCCTGCCCAGGCGCCCTGCCTGCTTGCTGCACTCCAGGTCGCAGTTGGCACAGCACACCACCTCCATGCCATCCCCTGAGCTGTCCACCAGGAACTGCAACAGCCGATCCACTGGAGGGAGGCCACTGGGGCCCTTCACCACCGTCTGGTGTCTGCGGAGAAGCTGCAGCCAAGATCCAGAGGCCCCTTCCCCATGGCTCCCTACCTCCACTCCCACCCCCCACATTCCAGGCTGGAACTAAAAATAGGGCGGGAGGTGGGGTGCCTGCAGGCCTGGCATCTGCTATAAATATTTCAGCCAGTGCTCACTCTGACCCTGTCCGTCTCCCTGCCTGCCCAGGCCTGGGTGAACGGTGGGAGGCCATGGGGTTGGTGACCCTGGGTGTCAAAGGCAGAGGCCTCCCCTTAACCCTCTCTCACTGCATTGGGCAAATTTAGCCCCCCAACCCAACCTGAGCCAACAGAACCTGCTTATGTTGCCCTGAGACTTCAGGGACCCCCAAGTGAGGTACTGGGAGTGTCTGGATGCTTTGCTGAGACCCGGTACTCCAGCAGTGCCCAGCTACACGACTAGGCATGCGCTCTAGCCCAGCACTTGCCCCCTGACCTTCTGTGGGAGGCCTTGGGCCCCTAACCCCAGGCCTCAGCTAACCTAATCTGGCAAATGGGCGGGAGCCTGCGCGTTATCCCGCGGAGAGGTACCGGCTGGGTGCCGCCTCTCCAGCCTCCTCTGCCGGGAGGGAGTCGGAGCCTTGCCCTCCTTGCACTTAGATCCCGCCCAGGCGGAGCCAATCTCCCCTCCTGGTTGGGGGTGGTCCTGGGGGCTTCCAGCACTCACTGGCACAGCGGGCAGGCGAGGCGGCCGTCGGCGGCGCGGCCGCGCAGGCAGCCGGCGCAGAAGTCGTGGAAGCAGTCCAGCAGGCACGGGCGCTCGTACTGTGCGTGGCACAGCGGGCACACGAGCGGGTGGCCGCTCACGGCGTCCAGGGCTCCCGGGCCCTCCGGGGGCGTGAAGATAGCTCCCGACATCTGCGGGGACAGCGCAGGAAGGCGCTGCGGGGGCGCGGCCGCGGAGGCCAAGCCAGCTCCCGCGACCCCTGTCGCGGCGCCCGCTCCCTCCTACCTCTCCGGCCTGGACCCGACGGGGCGTCCAGCGGTCGTGGAGCGAGGAGCAGCTAGGCCCGGGGCTGGGGTCTGGCGTGCCCGCCGCAGAGAATGGGCAGGGGGGCGTGCGGAGGGCCGGGCCCTGTGCCCGCCCTCCCAGTCTCTCCGGCACGGCACCCGCTGTGGCCCTTGAAGGTCAGGCTGCAGGACCGGCAAGGCTTCCTACCCAACGCCCGGCCTCCCCTGCCTCCACCTCTCCCACCTCCCCTCACTCCCACCGCAGGAATTCCCCTCCCAGTGTCCTCTGGGTGACCTGCAGAGGACACCCCTTCGGTGCCGGCGCTCCATGGCTCGGGCTCGGTGCTCCGGTCCACCCTCCCCAGGCCGGCCGCTGTCCCGCGGCTCCGGCCACCGACACTCCGCCCTCCGCCCGGGAGGAGGAGAAGAGGCCGTAGCTGGAAGGGACGGCGCCAAGGGTCCGAGCTTCCGACTGGACCCTGCCCTGGATGACAGTGCCCAGATCACCGAGCGCTGGAGCGCCTGCAGAGGCGGCGGGGGGGGCGAGGCCCCTGGCTGTGCGCTCAGAGGTGCAGGGGCTCCCTGGCAAGGCCAGCTCCCTCCCGCCAGACTTGGACAGGAACGGGAATGGGTCTGCGTAGCCCCATTTCCTCGACGGCCGATTGGGGAGCGCCAGAGAGCAGCGGACGCCCTTCCGCAGACGCCCCAGCATCTGAGAGAGCGCAGGAGAGGCCTTCGAGTCCCTGGCCTGCCTTGGCTGGCTCCGGGCTCTCAGCCAGGTTACCGACCTCTCAGAGCCTCAGAGCTTGGGTAGAACAGGGCATCCTCCACGTGATGGAGTGAGACTTCAGTGGAATAACGCAGGTGAAGTGAAACGCACAGCCTGGACTTCCAAATGGTTGAGGTCTCACCCCTATTGCCAGCCTAGTCCCCAAAAGGGGTAGGTTTGGGTGGGAGGGTGGGAGAGGAGGCTCTGAGCCTTTCCAGCAGGGCCCCTATGCTGTTCTTGGCCTGGTGAGTGCCCGTTTATCCCAGTGTTATTTTCCTGAGTGCCCCTCTCCCTAGGCCAACATTATCTGGTGTGTTATTCTGAGCTCTCAGAAAGCAGCCCCTGTCTCTGCCCCTCTTGCAATCACAGTCAAGCCTGGAGCCTGACCCACAGAAGGTGGTCAATAAAGTCTTACTAATCAGTTAGAAAAAACTCAGAGACAATATTCAAGCTGGGTTTTGAAGGATGAGTAGGAGTTTGCCAGTGGGAAGAAAGCAACTGAATTCTAGGCAGAAACTACTTGTTCTTTTAAGGGTCCTCCCTAGCCCTGGTTCCATTTGTGCTCTAAGTCATAATAACAATAATAACAATGGCTAATGTTTTTGGGCCAAGATACTAATCAAAGTTCTTTTACTTGTATTAACTCATCTAACTCTGACAACGACCTTAGGTGGTAGAAAACATTACCCTAGTAAGGGGTAAAGCTGGTATACAAGACCGGGGGGTGCTTTAGAAACGAAGGCTTCATTAGTTTCCCTTTGGAGGGGCAGTAGGAGATAGATGTTTGTTCCTGATACTCGGACTTATTTAATCCATCCATTCTTGTCTTCGTCTAATCAAGTAGCATTTACTGAGCATCTGCCACGGGCCGTACACGGGGAAGGGAACACAGCAGCCAAGGTTAACCAAGTGCATAAGTGAACAAGTACAGTAATGCCAGGCTGCAGTAAGGGCTCTGAGGAAAATAACCAGGATGATGTGGTGGAGGGCAGCTGGGGGGAGCTGAGGGCACACTCATGGGCAGAGAGGGGTGCTGAGCCTGAGACCCCAGAGGATGAGAAGAAATCAGACATGGGAAAAGCCAGGAAAAGTTCAAAGCAGAGGGAACAGCAAGTACAATGCCCCAGAAGTTGGAATAAATTTAGAGGAAAGAAAAGGAGACCAGTGTGGGTGGAGATGGAGGGACTCAGTGTGGGCTGAGGATGGAGAGTGGGGTGAAGGTAGAGAGGTGAGTGAGGGGAGGGGTGTAGGGAGGAGGGTGGGAGGGGAGAGTGGGCTGGTGGCGGGGAGAGTGGTCTACTTGGTGCTCTAGATTAGAGATGTCAAGGAAGCCACTGGCTGTGTGAGTCGAGAGTCCAAGGAGGGCTTGAGGCTGCACACACAGACTTGGGAGTTGTATTTAAAGGCATGAGCCTGGGTGAGCCAAAGGTCAAGTGTGGATAAAGACGAGAGGAGCTCTGTGCCCTGCAGCCCTTCAAGTCCAGGGAGGAGGAGGGAGCAGCAGGGGGATGGAGACAAGCGGCCAGCGAGGTGGGAGGAGAAGCAGGAGAGCCTGGTGTCCCGGGGGTCCAGGGAGGAGAGGTCAGCAAGGAGGAGGGAGTGACCTGCGGTGTCAGAGGCTTCTAAGAGAAGCCTGAAGAGGAGGACTGAGCACTGACCCTGGTGCTTAGCAGGGGGACATCCCTGGTGACCTTGAAGAGAGCTGTCCTGGTGGCTGGGGGCCAAAAGCCTGACCAGAGTGGGTTCAACAGAAAACAGGAGGAGAGATTTTAGACAGTGCACAGAGGCAACTCTTCCAAGAAATCTGGTGCGAGGAGATGCTCTTTGTCAGTTCAGGCTGCCGTAACAAAAATACCAGACTGGGGGACTTGAACAACAGTTTCTCACAGTTCTGGAGGTTGGCAGTCCAAGATGGAGGTGCAGGAGATTTGGTTCCGGTGAGGGCCCTCTTTCTAGCTTGTAGCTTGCTGCCTTCTCACTGTGTCCTCACATGGTGGAGAGAGGTCTCGTGTCTCTTCACTTTATAAGGGCCCCAGTCTCATCATGGAGCCCCCTCCTCATGACCTCATCCAAACCTAATTACCTCCCAAAGGCCCCACCTCCACATACCATCACATTAGGGTTTCAACATATGAATTTTGGGGGACACAAACATTCAGCCAATAGCAGAGAGGAGAGAAAGGGGTGGTAACTGAAGGGGAATGTTGGGGGTCAAGAGATTGCTTTTCCTTTTCTAAGACGGGACATATTAAAGAATGGTTACATGCTGATGGGAAAGATCCAGAAATAGGATACATTGATGATTTCGTGAGAGGGTGAGGCCTGTTACAGGGATGTCCTCAAGGAGGCAGCGGTATACGAGATTAATGCCCAAGTGTTGGGGTGGGCCTCAGATGGGGACAAGAAACTTCTTCCATAGTATCAAGAGGGGAGGCAGAGCCGGGTGTAGATGTTGCTGGAGGTTAGACATGGAGGCAGAAGTGTGTGAAAATTCTCTTGCATTGCTTCTATGTTTTCAAAGAAAGGGCAATGGAAGTCATCAGCTGAGAGGGAGGTTGGGGGAAGAGGGGCTGGCATCTGACCAGAGGTGGGAAATAGTCACTTGGATTTCAGGATTGCCGGGCAGCCCCAAGGGCTCGCTGGGGTTAGGAGTGGTGTCATCAGGAGAAAGCACGCTAGTATTTTAACGGAATATAAAGGGTTGTTAACTAGGTATAAGGATCTGTAAACTAGGTAACTGGAGGGATGAAAAAACAGTAGCAAGTGCAGGAAGCAGCTACCACTCCTAGGGTGGTGGTAAAAAGTAGAAGCTGGAAGGAGGGGCCCCTCAACGAGGGGATGCTGGGCTGGGGCTGGGGCCTCTGAGGAGAAGAAAACGAGGCTGGTTCTCCAAGTGTCAGAATAACTGCAAACTGGATTCAACTGCTGCTTCTGGAACGTCCCAACTGCCACCTCCACCATGAAGAAGCAAGATGGGTGACAACGACAGAACAGAAACAAGCAGGAAGCCAACAGGAAGCAGTGTCTTCTTCCCCCTCTAGCCCTGCAGTCTCTCCCCAGCCCCTTATTGAAAGAGCCTAACCAGGAGCTGGCAAAGCAGAAATGTGGTTTGCAGTGAAGAATAGCAGGGTGGGTTTGGAGCTTGGTCGACTGGCACAAGTAGGCCTGAGTTTAAATCTAGACGAGTCAGTGTGCTGTATTTCTTCCCACCGTGGTAAGCCAGGATTGGGCTTCTGCTAGGTGACTACACTGCCTCCAGATAGAGGGAGTGGAGGTGTATGCAACTGAGTGATTACAACACAGGGCCCTGGAATGTAACTGGTAAGAACAGGAAGGGGTGAGGGTAGGTGAAAAGTAGTCCAGTCAATGGGCTGTAGGCCGGAGGAGGAAGACCCTTGCTCCTCCATGGACAAGAAACATCAACGTCAGCATCAGCATCCCTGGGAGCTTGTGAGAAATGTAGAATCTCAAGTCACTGAGACCTGCTGAATTGGAATCTGCATTTTATCCAGATACCCAGGGGATTTCTGTCTATATGCCAGTTTGAGAAGCACTGGTAGAAGAATTTTTGGAACTGGGAAACGAGAAAGGATGAGCTGGAAAGCTAGGAGGTGGTGCTCGGAGGGTGGGTGGCTTGAATCTGAGATTGTGAAGGGGTGCAACTTGAGAGTGTACCTGACCGCAGCAAGGAGGGCTTGCACAGGGGCACAGTCTCGGGGCCCGAGCTTCTGAGCTGGTCACTTTAGGTAGGAAGAAGCCAAGCGCTCTCGGGCATTGGGACCCCGGCGCCAGAAGGGCCTCACCTCCCCAAGTTAGTGGGGTCGACTCCCATCCCACTAGCTGGTAACTTATGGCTTAGCAGATCTCCTTCTTTCTTTTCTCTTTCCAAGACTTTCCAAAGTAAAGCGAACCCCTTTATTTCTCTTTGGGCTCGTCCAGTCATGCTCCCCCCTCCGATCGTTCGCAGTGGGACATGCCACCGGGCCTCCTTCTTCCCCCGACAACCCACCGGGCCTACGAGAGGATGGGCTTTGCATCCAGGGGAGACCAATTGCTCCCCGATCGTGCAGAA